ACTGTTCTAAAAATAGAATAGAGGGTTAGAACCGGAACCAGTTTTTCGCCGACTTGTTATGCATCGCATACCGTTGAATTCTTGTCAGAATGCATTTGGAATACCATCAAATGCGGATACGTTTCGAAGTGACCCGGACGGTTAAGCAACGAAAAATTTCGATTTGAAATGCAAAGCTAGTTTCTACAAAGCTCGCCCATTCAACTACAGCAATCATTCACACAGATCGAGAAGCCATGAAAAGCGTGTTCGCATTCAAATCAATCACGCAATCTACTCAAAATCTAAAAGGGCGTGCAAGTTAGTCCACTGCGCCACTCCAAATGGTATACTGTACAAAACAAAAAGTCATCGGACTATCGAAGGACGAAAACGGTACACGCATATGAAGTGGATCAATGCTTCACTTCTGTATTTCGGGAGTCCAACAGTGCAATGAAGAAAGTTCAGAAATCTTTTAAATGATCATAAAAATTTTACTACAGTATCTCCATCAGCGCTTCTTGAAAGCATGTCAGCACTACTTTATTTGAATTAGAAGAAGCTGCCTTTTGATGGTAATCACCAAAAGTGATCAAACGCCAACTGCTAAGAACCTTCAGACACTCGATTCACTGTCGAAATCTGTCACACACAAAAACAACAAAAAACAAGAAAGAAAAGCCTATGAATTGAAACTTTCACAGGAATTTTTTCCAAATGCCGTCGAGAATAAGGACACCACCTAATTCTGACTCCGATCTCGTATTCGAAATGAAGCAATGAATTCAGCACATCATCTCATGATATCAGGAAAAGGTAGAGATTCATAACAAATCGGTTTACCACGATAAATCTTTCAAAACTTTTCACGGGGCACTCCACACTTCTTCAGTCGAACTTTGATTCCAGTTCAAAGTTGTCGGAAAATCTCTGCTCCGCAATCTTTAAATCTTCGTAGATGACGTAGTCGTATAGACAAGTTCTGCGTGTATCAAAGAAAGTCCGTCTGACGACTTGACAACAGCTTCATGATCTTTCATTTTCAATGGGAACATAATCAGCAACCGTGTACATGACCACCGTTCAACTTTCTCACCGATGTCGCTTTTTTTTGAAAGAAGCAAAGCGTCCTTTTCGACACATCCCTGCTGTATGCTTGCTCGTTTGGTTTCGGTAAAATATTCAAATGTTACGATCCAGTTGGCCGGGACGAAGCAAAGCTGGATCCACCGTGTCGGGTCGATTGGCTGACGAAATCATTTTCACCTAAATTAAGTAAAGCCAAATAAAGATGCTGTAATAAGCTGTATTCATCGCACGCACGAGTAATTTTAACCCTCTTTTCGCGGGATAAGTCGAAAGATTGATGACAAGTACACTCGTGGATGGAAATGAAAAACAGCATAAGGATAGGTTCGAAGCTTCCAACACAAACCACGGGCATCCGAATGTTATTTGGCAATATCAGTTGTCAACGCGAACCCAAAAACGGTAGTAATGCAATTCCGCATCGCAAAAAGCCCTCTTTCAGAAACTATAGACGCATTAATCAGCTGCGAGAATATTACACTTTCGAAGATTACTCATCCATACATTGCGTCAATTCACCCAAGCAAGATTGATCATCATTTGTTTTGTTGAACATCATACGAATGAGTTGAGTGGCGTGATGATCACGCGTTCAAAGAGTTCAAGATTCATCAAATGGAGGTTCAATATCCAGCAAGAAGAACAGTGGTTAATCGCAAATCTTTCTTCAAAACTTCTCCAACCATCTAAAAATATCTGGAACATGGCGGTATGACTCACCTGACCCACACATCGAATGAGTTTAATGTTGTCTTGAGGCTTGATCCGTCCGTTTAGTCGCTGACGCACTGAAACAGGAGTAAAATCATCGAAAGCAAAATCGGGGAGCTTTTTTTTTGTGCAATACTTACTGTCTTGTGAACGGTTTCCAACTTCTTGATGCTCCAAGATTTTCCTTCCGATGGTCAAAAAGAGCCTTTTCGCACGCAGAATCCATGATGACGAGCACCGTGTCCATTTATCCCTTCACCATGCAACTCATGGCAAGAGCGCTCTCATACTGATTAGCTCCGAAAGACGGAATAAGCTTCCACATACAGTAATCCGGTTTTCACTGTGAAGTATACAGAAGCAGCTTCAAGTAACTCTTGCTAATCATTCAGCAAAGAGAAAAGTACAGTTTTAACGCGCTGATTTAACATCAGGATATTGCGTTACACAATGAAATTTCTAAAGGACGCCGATGTCGAGGGTCCTTAAACACCTGACAAAGAAATTGGGTTTGGTGAAAAGAGTAACACAATAATCGGCCGTTTGCGGCCTGAGGTAGATCCTCAACTTCGAAGTTTATTATCAAATAATGTTTTGTAGACACAGAATATATGTTTTCTCGCAGGAGTGTTCGCGGTCACTTTTGGAATAGGAATGATGCTGCTGCTGATGATAGAGATGCAGGTTCAGATCCATTCCAATGGAAATGAACCTGAAGGCTGGTTTCTTGGTATCAGGTCCAGTGTTATCAGGTCCAGTGTTATCAGGTCCAGTGCTTCATGAGAATCCTTTTGATGAGGATTACTCATGATGTTTTATAATAGGTTTCAAAGTATTCCATGAAGGTTTCATAACTTCATGGAATATTCAAAATTATGTAACTTTTTGTTCTTGTGTATTCTGGTTGCTTTGAAGCAACTCCATTCCAATGGAAATGAACCTGAAGGCTGGTTTCTTGGTATCAGGTCCAGTGTTATCAGGTCCAGTGTTATCAGGTCCAGTGTTTCATGAGAATCCTTTTGATGAGGATTACTCATGATGTTTTATAATAGGTTTCAAATTATTCCATGAAGGTTTCATAACTTCATGGAATATTCGAAATTATGTAACTTTTTGTTCTTGTGTATTCTGGTTGCTTTGAAGCAACATGGCATGACCGTGAGCGACCTCTAGTCGTCTCACGGTGCGAAATTATTTACTCAGGGTGACACCCAGTCGACCCACGACACTAGCCACGCACCATCTGGCGCAGCTGATATTCAGCTATATATGTGGTATACAGATGCAGTCAACAGAGGATGTGCCTCTGTCAACCACAACACAGTCAGCATTTATTTTCATAGTAACATGTCATCCTCAGTCGACTGCTTAAAAATGCAGCGTGCACTTATCATTTATTCTTTCACTGCCCAAAAGGTGGTTAGCTCAGTTTGTTAGGAGGTTGGCTAGTGTTTCTGATCTTCTGGGTTTGAATCCCTTCCTAGGTATTTTTGTGTTTATTTCTGGTCACAGCCATGGTAGTACTGGTAGCATCCATGGTCTACCATCAGGCAACAAACTCCGGAGTTTCTTGCCTAATGGTAGACCATGGATGCTACCAGTTCTACCACCTTTCCAAAAAAGGTTGTTTCACGCAACATACAGTATTAAATAATTATACAAAAAATGAGTTACTTTCAACTGGATAATAGAAAAATAATGCCACGTCAACATTATATACATTTGTGACCAGGGTAGAAACTTCAACAGGTACCTGCTTTAACTTGACAAAGTAAAAGTTGCCTGATCCAGCCAAACAGAGTCAACTGACTCAAGTCAACTGACTCAGTTGACTCTATTGACCAAGTCAGTTGACTCAGTTGACACAGTTTACTTTAACAATTGACCAAGTCTGTCAAAGTTTCATGATGTGGTCAATGGACTCTATCGACCAAGTCACTTGAATACTATTGAATTGTCTATTGACCAAGACAGTCGACTCAGTCAACAGAGTTTGTCAACAGAGTTGGTAGACTGAGTTGTGTCAACAGAGGTGCATCCTCTGCCTACTGCATACATATATACCACGTGTTTAGCTGCATATGCACACGCCAGATGGCATGTGTGCTGGCGAGTGCACTCTTGCCCCGCCCATCACCCGCCAGGATGCGTCTCAGGATGCCCCGGCATCCCCCAGGATGGTTCCCTGATGGCTCTGGGGATGCCGCCCCATCCCCAGGGAGTGTTCTCAGGTGCTCATTTTTTAGGGAATCCCGTGGGATGCATCCAACTTCAGAAGAGCATCCCGCGCATGGTGACTCCTATGCCCATCTCCTATCCCTAGCTAGTCCATCCCTCAGTATGCCTAACTGCGGGATGCCCAGATTCTTTGCTGGGTGGTCCAAGTTTGAAGTGAAAATTGTTGTCTTCTCTAAACTGTTTGTGATCTCTTGCCTTTCCCAAACTGAGTATTCTGTTCAATTATGCAAACTGCTCACATCCTTCTTTTTGTTGGAAATTGCCTAAACTGCCCTCTGTTTTCCCTTCAAAAAAGCAGGATTCTATAGCCTTTTCAAAACTGCTTCCCTTCTTGTTTTTTTATCTTGCTCAAATTGGTTTCCCATTTCACTTGTCAAAATTTGTGACATTTGGCCTCCTGTCCCATTCAAAAAAATGTATGTGAATTTCATTTTCTGAACTGCTTGCCCCCTCTGGTCTTGTGTTTTAATTGTCTCAAATGCCCCTCTTTTGATCATATACAACATCAATATTTCAGCCTTGTTGAAGCTGCTCATATTTTTGTTTGGGTTGACCATGTCTGAACTACTTCCCCTCATCTCATGTCAAAAGATGTATTGTTGCCCTGTCTAAACTTTCTGAGCTTCTTGTCTGATTAAAAATGCTTACTTATTCCCTCTCTTAACTGCTTGCCTCATTCAGTGTTTGAGGATCTTTAGAATTCCATGTCTGAACTGATTATCCGTTGCGTCCCATTTGGCATTAAAATTCAATGTCTTATATGAACAGCTTTTTGTGTTTAGCCTTTGTTGGAAAAAACTTCAGCATGCCAACAATTTGGCGCCAGATTAAGCTAAAATGTTCCTCTATTCTGAAAATTTCTCTCAGAAAAATTAACAGCTTCTGCTGGAGCCTAGGATCCAAACACAAGTTTGATTCCCAGGCCCAGCAAGGACATCTTCTGAATAGACATTTTAATCCGCGTCCTTCAACTACTCCTTTCCTGATTTCTGAATTTCGTATGATTTTGACACTTGCATTCAAATTGTTGACCCAAGCAGATCTCTGTGCAGAGAAGCTTTCATCGCGCAACCACTGAAATTTTGACCAAGTGTTTATCATCAAAAAAATGCAACTCTTTAAACTAGGACTTCTGTCCCTGCCGCAACTTGGCTGATCAATTGAGTTTTCTTATTCTAAATCAACTCTTCTCATCCTAAAAGGGATTTCAGTTCACTTCTTTGTTTCAATCGCACTTTTTTCGCATCAATACATTCACTTTATTCCTCCTTCAACTTTGTGAGTCTCTTTTGTCAGTTTGACATCTTTTTCTCACAAAAGTGGTAGCAGAGTGTGGTTTTGATACGCCGCCTCTCTTCTAATAAAAAAAAACCCTTATCCAAAAACCTATACTGTACTCTTATTACGTCTGTCGTTATTTCCTCTTTTCCAATCTTTACCTAAAATAACATTCCACGCGAAAAGTGTTTTGAAAAGTGCAAAAGTGATATAAGATTCAGCCTCAATCAGGCATTCTCAACAAGTGACAATCAAAAAACCTCATCAACTTATCAACAAACAGAAAACTACAAAAGGTGACGTAAGGAAAGAGGAAATATCCTCAAAAAAATCCAAAGGAAATCAGAACAAAAGAAAAACATGCCAAAAATTCTGCCAAAGGCAATCAAGAAGAAACCGGGAAGACCTCCCAAAAAGATTGTCATTGATCAAAACCTTGAGATCAAAACTCAGAGACAAAACAAAACCCAAACAGAAATTGAAACACCAATCAAAAAAGAGACTCCAGGAAGGAGCTTGGCTACTTTAACTGCTTTAGTGTGCATGTCAGACTCTTCCTTAAACAGGCCACTGTCGTCAACAGAAATCTCCAAAACTAAAAATACCAACGCTTTTTGTGATTTAACATCAAAACTCTTCCAAATTGTACAACTAATTTGCAAAGGAGACTGGGCAAATGCTGAACACAAACAAGATCTTAAACTAAAGACATTCGAAGAAATTATCAAAGACTTCTTGGAAGCATACGCATTTCTTACTATGACGCAATTTGATTTTCTTGACCAAGAAGACACAAACAAGATTCTGATATTGAAGAAAGAAATAACTAATCTTGCTTCACACACCGCAAACTTTATCAAAAGAATGGAGTACACTTTCCATCATGGGGCCCGTTCTGGGACACCTGTTCTGTAAGAAAGCCCTTCCTGGGACACCTGTAACAGAACGGGGGGCCATGGCACTTTCAGTGGCAGAACAGCTGTCACAGACCAAGAGACAGAAATTCAAATTTTGTGAACGAAGTTTCCTTCAAATGGTAGGTTTTTTGACTGCCTTAATTTCCTATCTCTAAATTACTGTGTATTGGTCATGTGCTAGTATTTGAAGGGTCCTTTGGCACAATCTCAGTGCCAACCCTCTGTTGGGGTATTTTATTTGGAATGTTTTGTGAAGGAGGGACATTATCCCTGAATTGTTCTGAGGGAAATCTCCACCACTGTTCTATTAGTTTAATTTGTGGTGAATTGGGAATTTCCCACTCCAATGCATTTATTTTTTGTTGATTACTAACAGCCAGGCCAGGTTGGCAAGGCTGGCGCATTTAGGCCAACCTTTTAAGTTGACTTCCACCCCTGTGGGATTCTGAGAAGGGAGAGGTTCCCAGGCAGCAGCTGCCACTTAAGCTTTCTCACCCTTGTTTTGGAAGCTGTTTTCCCCCTCTCTGTTTTGAAAGCTGTCAAGGGAATTTATGACTGTTGGAGAAAACTTCCACCTCCTTCTCTTCTTGACTCAGGATATCCTCCTGGCTTAGAACCAGTCATCTCTGAGCTCTGTTGTGGAAGGGTGGTTCTGAGTTGCTCCCCAATTGTGGGGAATGTATTCTGATGTATATTTTGTACTGTCCTGTTTCACTTTTGACCATGTACTGTCTTTGTGTTGCAGGCAAACCACATTCACATTTACATTAATTTGTTTGCACACGCGCTTGTCTTGCAAGCACTTAAGCTTATT